AACTACCTCAAAACCAGATCTGATATAGACCAAAACAAGATTATAATATTTGGTAGATCCTTAGGTAAGTTTGGATATTTGAGAGTAAATTGTTTTTGTGTGTGTGGGGGAGGGGGGAAGTCATATGTATTGTAGGGGGAAACAAGGATGATTACAGTGAATTGTTGAGTGACTGCTAAATTGGTTAATAAATTTGTTGCGTTACTGATTGAGTGTTCAATTGATGTTGAATCTTTGGTTGAACATTAGTATCTTAATTAATAGACTAATTGATTAAGCAGTTGACTGCATGTGGAGCAATTATTGATTGACAGAGCGAGTGATAATGGATTAAGAGGTTAGTTAATCCAGTAATGTGGGTATATTTTGAAGCCTGCGATGTATTCGGAGCGCGGGCTCCGATCCAACGTCACACTGGCGGGACACCCGGCAATGTTTATTTTTCCGGGTGTCTCATATATGGGACACCTGTCAGAAATGGGTTAATTGGCTGCTAAGCCATCAGTCTGATATCATATCATATCATAATTCATATATATATATATATATATATATATATATATATATAGATATCAGACTGATACACTTGACTGATTTTTTTAACTGACTAACTGATTGATCAGTTGAAAGACTTACTCGTAAAGAGACAGAAAGATAGATTAACAAACAGAAGTAGGCTAGGAAATTACAGACAGATTAGGAGTTGGGCAGATAGTCCTACTCATATGGTGGACCCCTTAATGCTATATTGGTGGAAGCAGATTTTACAGTATATTAACTTGTATATTAAGTTTATGACCACAAATAAAAACTCAAAAATCTAAAATTGTTTTAAGATAATGAAAGATTTGCAATCAGTGGCTTTTCTCGTTTAACATATAGTATGGACATTCGGCTATTAGCTATAAGTATAATCATCCGGCTGTTTCCAGGTGGTGCTGTAGCTGTAGATTGTGTTAGTAGGTCAGAAATCAGCAGTCGGGTTGCGGCCGTGATCCTAGAGAACACCTTCACTTCCATCCCAGATATGGCCAAGGTCCTCTTCTCTAATGTTAAGTTCCTGGCGAAGTTGCCCGAGTGGTGTCACAAGAATAAGGTAAGTATTTTGTAAGAAATCAATTTTTATCATTGTCATTGATGTTGCTGTCATCATTGTCTTTACAGTCAGTTATCATATATTATCAGTTATCATCAACAGTAGCAGTCATCATCATCATCGTATTTGAATATTTGTGATGTAAAAAGAAACCTCTAATAAAAAGCTTGGACTTCAGTAGAAATTTTCATAATGATAGAAGTATTATCATGTGATGCTACAACTGTACCATATCCAAAGGATCTAATGACTGATCTCACTTGTCCACTTGGCTTACAGTACCTGTCAAAATACAAGATGTGCAGAGTGGTTGTGCCAACATTATTCCTCTCAGGCCAGGCAGACTCATTGGTACCTCCACGTATGATGATGGAGTTGTACCACTGTTGTGCATCACCGGCCAAGCGTCTCATGCAGTTCACACAGGGCTCGCATAATGAAACCTGGAAGTGTCCTGGGTATTATCAGGTGTTGCTTCATTTCCTTGATGAGGTAAGATGGTAGCTGTTTTAAAGCTAAGATACCTTTTTTGGGTTTCTATGCAAATATGAGTATGTATATACATATGGTATTTGTAAGAACCTTCATGTGTAGATGAATTTTCACATTTAGATACATATTAGCATATTTAAAGAAAAAATTGTTTTGGTTCAAATTTGTTGTCATAAATATATTTAGGAAAGGTACAGTTTATGCTAAATGGGATACATATAACTCCTGAGAAATATAGCATTCATAAACAGATTCAAAGAGCAAGATCAAAAGAAAGTAAGAAAAAAGTTTCTTATTTCTAATCTACCTTACTTGCCCCCTCTCAGCTATTCCAGAGGACCACTCAGCCTCCTGTTCTCCTGCCCGGTGTTGTGTGTTTTTCGGAACCTCAGATTCTCTAGCATTCTTCAGGCCCCTTTTTCATCATGTTGGTCACATAAGCTCTCATAAACATTACCCTCATTGGTTGCATGATTCATCTTCGCTAGAAAGAGATGGGGAAGGATGTTTTGTTTGTGGAGGTTTTCATTTTAAGATACTGAAAATAGGAAATGGGACAATGATGTATGCATGTTCAGTATTTTGACGGTGGTTCTGTGCCCGGTGTGAATTATATAAATTATTGTGAAATGTTTATTTCTCTTGTGTTTGTACTGACTCTTTTATGCAGTGTTAACATACAACAGAAATTAATTTTCAGTGTATGTTTTTTTTTTTTTTTTTTTTTTTTTATGGCAAAGTCTACAATAAGAGAGAAAAATGGACTTTATTTTAGATGCCGTAACAAAGGAACTTTTATTTTGTTATTGGCTTTTCCTTTGTCATTTCTTTTATTTATTTGATTATTCCTTTGTTTTCGTAAATATAAATATATGTTTATGTTTTGGGATTTCTTTTCCTCCAAATTTTATCAAGAATGATCACACAATTTTATGGAAAGATATAACAATGCCTTGGAAACACATACAAGGAGAATTAATCATTGGTATTTTGCTGGACATTTATTCCATTTTCCTCTGCAGACTTGATTTTGTATTTGTATTTTCAAAAAGAAAGAAAAGTTAGGGTGTTTACAAGTACATATAACTTTCAAGATTACCACTCTACAGTGTATATTGTGGGTAAGTTGTATTTACAATGTAGGATTTTTTTCACCTCTTTAATTACTGTTATTTATTGAATGTCTTGTTATTTATGGAATGAGAAATTTGTGAATCTTAAATGAAAATAGATCTAGGTAAAAACTTTTTATAGAAAAAGTTGGGAGAAGAAAAATTAGTGTAAAAGAAGCCTGCTAACCTCTTGATTCCGAGTGAAGTGCACTGTAAATGTGATACACTACAGTTGTTTCCACTTACATATTTGCAGCATTATTTATTCATGTTTTTGTATGTGTGCGATTTTGTAAGTTGTTGAATATGAATGTACAATTAATGATTCATAGGATTAGGAACTTATTGGAATACATTTGATTATGAATGTGAACAAATTTCACACAGTATGAAATAGTTATTACAGGTCTGATCATCATATTGAATTCATATATGACCAAAAATTATATTAAACTAAAAGTTTTTCTTGTTTTTGTTTTTATAAGAGGAGCGGGTTATATCCTGTTATTTGCAATAATGGAGCTCATATCCTTTTTTTCTTTTTAGCGAGAAAGAAAGGATAGAAAAGAAAAAGCAAGCTGCATTATGTACCTTTACACTTTTTTCTTTCATTTTGTGTGAAACCACACACACAATTTAGTATAATTTCATGGAATAACAATTTCAAATCAGCCTTTAAAAATTTAATGAATAAGTAGATTATGAAGATGACTTTATGTTTATTCAGTAAACTATTAATAACTTGTACTTTTACTTCACTGGGCTTGGTGGTTGTAGGGTCAGTATCAATTGATTAATTTGTAGTGAACTCAATGTTGAGTTAAGTGCTTATCAAACCAGTACATTTTCTATCAGTGTTAGTTGCCATCATGCCTCTAAAACCTGACTCCTTCACAAAGCTCCCGTGGTCCAGGTGCACAAACCATAGCAGAAATTTTTGGATTCATATGCAGATTATCTGGATGGCAAGATAGACCTACAATCATTTGTGTTTTTTACAATCACTTTGTTTTGGGCCTTGATAAGAATTTTACACTTTATGTAGAAAACCGTAGATGTCGCAAAATTAGAAATCTGCAAAAAAGCGACTGTCGATGGAAAGAAATATTATTACAGAAAAGAACCGAATGTGCTTTTTTGTACCTGCTCGATTTCTACTTTTCTAGTTCCTCACGTAATCATTTACTGGTTGCTTTTCAATTTTGTCTTGCTCATAAAGAAAAGAGAGGAAAATATCAGATTCATATAAATTTCTATTTAATTGCCTAGCTGTTTAGTTTGGTACTCTGTACTGAGCAGGCTCTAGTTTTCTTGAAAAAGTCTTTACTCATCATTGTTGATGGTGTTTAAACTAGAAAGAGATGCACTGAATATGTGCTGTGGAAACAGCATACTGTGTCATGGACAAAGGTTGGATATCAGAGAACACTGTGAAAATGTTTTAGTGTGATAAGCACTTTTCTGTAAAGCAGGAATAGGAATGACAATATGCTAACCAGATTAAGGAATAGAAGTTATGGTTTAGTTTGTAAAATTTTATCTGAGGACTTGGGCTTCGCTGACTTTGATGTGAAGTGCCTGTGAGTGCTAAATGAGGCATTGTATGCATTGTGAGGTTTTACAAGAATGTTATCATGTATATTCCATTGCACTTGTTCCCCAGCCAATAGAAATCAGCTAGAGTTCATGAGCTGTTGTGAGATATATGTATGAATGAAGATACATAAAAGAAAGGAAAGGGAGACAAAGAGATGATAAACAGTAATATTGTTCATGTATCAAATGTCTAGGGCCTGATACTCTCACACATGCCAAATAACTAATGTACCTTGAGTAGCTCCGTCCTAGTGTTAATAGCTGATACAATATAGTAACACCCTCTGATTAAAAAAAAAAACACACACACAACTTTAATTTTCATGCAGTTTTTTGTATTCTTTAGTTTTGATGGTTGTTGGAAACTATGTTCGAGAATTAGCTTGTTTGTTAATATGAGTTTTGGTATTTGAATGTGTGATGACTTAATTGTAATACCTAAGCATCTAGTAATTGCTGTCAAAATATTAGGATTTTTAATATGTCTTTTTTTCTATAGATTATTGGCGGAATTTATGCTGTAAGTTCTAGCAAGCCAACAAGAGTATATGCATCAGTGTTAATCAGTGAATTTCTAATATTATTTTGATAATTAACAGCAGAAGTATATCTTGGTGATCTGATAGAATAATCATCATAAGTAGTTTTGCACTCCAGAGAACTGTGTTTCTGCGATACATTCCTGCAGCATCTGGTATGATTTTAGAGCCATTAATTGTCCCTGTAGCTCCATGTGATGTATGGGTGGGGTGGGGAGGGGTGGGAGAATCAAACTCTTGGCCCTTATTTTTGTAAGTACATCTCAGATGGTTTTTGCATTACCTGAGTAGAAAAGTTCATTGGATGTGGTAGTGTGTGATTAATTTTTTTTTTTTTTTTTTTCCCCCAATTCTTTGTCTTCATGCAAAAGAAAGAATATTTTCTTATACATCTTTATGTCAATAGTTTTTTGGTACAGGAAATTAGTCCTTTCATTGCCTTGTTCTCAGATACGCTTGACATCTGTAGCATTTGTTCTTAGAAAATAGCAGTATAACAGTGGTCTTCCCCTCTTTGTGTTGGCAGTTCGTGAATCATGAGATTGGATGTCCACAGGCAGCTCAATTGCACTTTATTCTTGTTAGAATCTGAAATTGCTCTCTATTTTTATGATGGTCCTTGAATAGAATAACCGTCCAATTGTATTGGAAATTCATAAGAAATTGCTGCAATATTTTGTCCAATATGAATATCCAACCCCCCATATTATGAAGCCCCACTGTCGGTTAGAAGAGCATACAGCTAACCTCACTTCAATGCACTGGTTACATGTGCCATGAGGCTAAATACTGGAAACAAGAATAAGATTTGACAACAAAAATACAGTAATAGTGTTTGAGGCTTATAATCTATTAGTTGATACATTTGGAATCAAGGGATTTGAAAAGGTTGAAAGTCTGCTCCAAGAAGTTGACAGATTTTCTAGACATGTAATTAATGTATGGAAAGTAGAGGCTTTTGTCTCACTTGTCTGGTTATTCATCAAATAGTAGAACGTCTTTTTATTTGTGCCATTATCACTTCCTTGTTATTACCTTTAAAGTTATTATTTGTCTCATTATCCAGCTTTTGCTTTTATGCTTGCTTTGTGATAATTTTCTTGCCCTGTATAGATAGTATTATTGTGATGAAGCTCTTGATAATTGTTTAGAGAATTCCTTGTAGCTAAAATTATAACTGCATTTGTGTATACATCTTATCTACATCTCTCTGTCTATCTATCTTTCTAAATATCTGTCTATTTATCTACCTATATAGATAGATAAACAGATGTAGATATGCATACATACATACATTCATATATGTGTGTATGTATGTATGTATGTGTGTATGTATGTATTGTATATTTCTTTGGGCCCAATTACTCATACAAAACTTCATTATGTTGCAGTTTTGCAGTTCATTATGTTATGCAGTATTAAAAGTTTAAAGAATAAAAGTTCATCTTTACTCATTATAATTGTGAACTTTCAAGTGAAGGTACTTGGACACGGATATATTTCCATATTTCTCTTTTGTTTACATTTAGTCATTTGACAAAAAGTTGTTTTTGAGTGTAACAGGTTAAGCATTTTGCTAAGGCTGACATGCACTGTATGAATGAAATTTTATATGCTAGATGTGTTAAGTATTTCACATTAGACATGGTGAAGGATTTATGTGCACACTGCAAAATATATTACTTTTGCAATTATTATATAGAAATGTGTTTCATAAATTGCTATCTGATTGTTAATTTATACATTAATTTATTAAGATTTTCATGGAAATAGCAAAGATAGTGAATGCAGAATAATAATATTTGTGTATTGTGCAATATTAATTTAAGTATGAAATATAGAATCAATTTTTGAGGTGTTTAATTTTTTTTTCTTCGTCTTCTTTTTTAGTTTACTTCAACTCATAATATTGCTTTTATGAGTAATTTTATGGTTTTGTATCAAAAAGGTAAACAGTTGTCATATCTTTAGTTGATGACTATGATTAAGATTAAACATGTCATTTTATGCATTACTTTTTTATACATTAAATATTTAATGGGTGATCTTAACCATGATGTTAAAGAATAAAATGGCCCTTAGTGAAGGTCAGTGAATGAAAAACAAAATGCTGTTTTTTATTAGATTGGGTTGTGCTATCGCTGCAAATATTTGGTACCATATTATTATTTCTGCTTTGGTGGACTTGATATTACTCTTTAGGGCCTGATATTGACCCCGGGCAGATATTGAAGCCGCCAGGGGTGCATGTACATACATGCCATGCCCACTGTGAGTTTAATTTAATAATTGTTTTTACACATAGATGGCTCCACAAGTATCAAGTCATCAGTGAGCCAGTTATGAGTACTGTGTGTCTCACCTGTTAACCCTTTTCCTGGATTTTAGAAAATATTTTCTGGAATGTAATATTGCTGTTAGTAATTTAAATATTTTAATAACTGTAATGTCTATGATAAAAATAACAGCATTGATATTGATAGCATTAGTAAACATTTTCCCCCTCAAACTAAAGGAAATGTGAAATTGGTGAGATCAAAAGGTCATCTAATTGACTCCTCGGTGGCTAAGCACTTGCAGAAACATCTATGTGCAGAGACATTTCACAAAACAATACTACAGTGAACACATTTTCCCAGAGATATTGGGTTAATGTTATTTAGGTTTCCATTATATGCAGTGGATTACGTCACTTGCATCTGGTGGTAACAAAATACCAGTTAAAAGTGTGGCAAAAAGAAAGGATTAAGGTGTAAAAAATAAAAGCGGTGTGTCTTCTTATGATTGATATGTACCAATATTGACTCCGGGTACTGAGTTCTTGCAACTTTTCCCCTTTGTGAACCCAGGGCAGGTCTGAGGTTATGTGATTGCCACACAAGTTAACACTGATTTTTGTGGGTATGGTTGAACCAGATGAAAGGTGTAATTTCTCATGAGGCTTGCAGTATATTGAGCTTGGCATGGAAAAATTTAGTGCAAGGGAGGCCGGTGGGAGGAGTGTAAAGGTTTGTGAGGATTGGACAGAGTAAAGTAACCCTGGTGTCTGTGAGTCATTCTGCAAGTGTCCTACAGTGGGGTTATGTGAAGAAAAAATATTTGCATAAACACTTGTTATTCATTTTTTTGTTGGTCTGTATATATACTTTTTTCAACAAAAAGTTACCTTTGAAATATTGTATATATAGTTTGTTTTTTATGTCCAGAGGTACTTCTCTCTACACTTGCTAAAAACAAACTTTCTGGCTTCCTGGTTTTAGCTTATGACAAAAAAAAAAAAAATAATAATAATAAATTTCTTTTTGATAATGCTCATGTGTATTGAAATCAAAGAAAAAGAAGAGGGCACTTTGATATTACAACAAACTTCTTTAAGAATAAAATAACTTGTCTGATTACAGGAAAAAAAAACTTTTTTTTAATGAAAATGAGACTAGTTTGAACATTAAATTGAATATATTCTCAACATTTTTGTAAGTCACAGTAGTGCTTCATTTTTTTTTTGTCAGCACAGCATTGTGCTTATGCTTTCAATATTGATTGGCCTTCAGAAATAGTTTGCTTTATCAACAGCTAAGATCATAGCTAGAAATATATATATATATATATATATATATATATTTTTTTTTTTTTTTTTTTTTTTTTTTTTTTTTTTGTTAATTTTAAAAGGGTAAATGGTGTATAAGGCATATGCAGAACATGATAGATAATACTACATTTTTCTTTTTTTTCATTTCCATCTCAAGGTGTGTCTGAACTGATACTTCACAAGACATTTATATTTATGTTAAATGTTTATTTGTTAGGGAAAAGGTACTTTGTTTAAATTGTTATTGTATAATCTGGCAGAATTTGTAGATGTTAGGCAGTTTGTGCGACTGTTGAGTGAATTAATACAATTATGATATTTAGATATGTAATGACTTGCTGCCTTGTGTGGTGCCAAAGATTATATTTACAGAAGTGTTTTGTGTAATGTTCACTTTTGTTTTGTTACTTTAAATGAAAATAAAGTGTGTATTTAATTTGCAGAAGTTCATGAAGATCTTAACTGTCATTTAACTGGATGTATTTAGATTCAACCTAAGGCTTCTCACATAGTAAAATAAACAACATAAACAGAAAAATATAGATGAAAATGTTAAAATGCAATGCATGAAATAAGGATATTACGAGGGATTGAAACCAGTAAGGAAAATAAGCAAAATTAATATGAAACTATCACTGTAGTGAAAGCATAACATTCATTTTAGTATTTTAAGGTAGGTTAACTACATTATTTAAATGTTTTTATGGTGCCAATAATTTACACTTTTTTATGGTGCCAATAATTTACACTGTCAAACCAGAACTTTGTTTTTGGACAAATTAAAAATAGGAAGTATGCAGAAATATTGTAAAGTGTTGGAGAAACATGTATAAAAAATAAAATAAAATCATACACGTAGTTGCCAAAGCCATTTAGTTGATTTTGAACTTTGCTAGACGTATCTCTTTAAATAGTTATTCATGTTGAAAAGAATAATGTGTACATACATGCATATTCTTGTGTAATAAAAAAAGAAAAAGGAAAAAAAAAAATTATTAATAATAAAGAAGAAAGTGCCTTTCCATAAGTATTCATTGATGTTAATGGTTTCAGAGTCGATATCTATAGGGTAAATGATGTTAACTTTTAATAAAATATTCAATGTATTTTCTTCCAGAGTTTGCATTACCCTCATACATTTGATATAAAGAAAACAATGAATATGCACCTCAGAGAGAAATATACTAATGCATAAAATCTTCCTATTTCTCTATTGCATGACTTATATGACAATGGAATGTACTGTACCTGCTATACTGCTATAGCCAAGTTCATAAAGTTTGTGGAACTGGTAATGTCATTAAAGATTATTTGACAGATTTGAATCAAATTGCATTATTTGCAGTCTACAAACAAGACATGGACTCACAATTTTTATTTTTTGTATAATCAGATATTATCACTGCTCTATTTTTAAAAAATCAACAAAAAAATAAATCTGGTGACTTGCACAGCATACTGCTGAGCTACACTACAACATTAAGTAGTTCATCTAATAATATTCAGAGGAAGTTTAGCTACCACTTGACACACGAACCTTACCAAACTCTATACATACTGATTAAGTGATATGACAGCAGACACATGTACTGTACAGGAAAGTATCTATGGAATGTTCGTCACACACCCAAGAATTATTTTTTTTCACAAATTAATTTAATTAATGAAACGTAAAAAAAAAAAAGAGAGAAAAATAAGGAAATGGAATAAAAATTGAATGTAATTATGGTACCATTTCTTCTTGGAACAGAAGAGGGACTCCCCAACAAGCAGAATCACACCCACATGTAACTAAGACACCAAGCAACAAAATACCGATAATGCAAACAAAACAAAAAAACCCTCAAACCCATCAAGTTCTTAAATCCTATTAGCAACTTTCAGCTTGTAAATAGCATGGTGTAAACCATATATATCATAACACCCAAAGCCAGTATTAAAACGGAGAGGATCATTGCAACACGGTTCTCTCCCCTTAGGCAACGCAGGTCTTTCTCATGTCTTGAGAGGTGTGTCTTTATGTCCTTCACTTCCTGCTCTAAACGTTTCTTTTCATCATTTGGGTAGTAACGTCGTCTGAGTTTCGTCTCGATGAAATCCAACCTGCGGGAAAATTGTTTTATTAGAATGTGGTTTTACATTTAACCACACTGAGATGGCACCCTTAGATTGATATCCTGATGTCAAATATATAGCATGACACTACATGAGACACATCATGGTGACCAAAAGTAAATGCTAGATACAATCTAACTATCCTAACAAGGTTTACCATATAACATGGCTGAAATAGGCAAAATGGAAAAAGGAGACTAATTCTCAAGCAATAACTGGTCTCAACACTGTAACAAACCTTTCATAACACTCTTTCAACTCCCTGGACGTATCTTCCAGCTGACTCATGACAGAAGCATTACGACTAGCTGTTCCCGCACTTTCAACCATGGTGCTTCAACTGGTCTGTAAGCAGACTTCAAAAGTAAATTGGTTGAACATAATAATAAAAACAACAACAATAATAAATAGATAAAAGCAAATTGAATACTTTCTTTTTACTTCTTTATTCATTTCTAATCTATATTTGAAGTATAACTTCACCTAACGGACAAAAAACTGGGTGTGCTATATTACCACAGGTTAGTTTGATTGCTACAGTCTTATGTCCTATATGCTTGCCAAGTAGTGCCTCTGCAGCTGCTCACATACTTAAAGACCTTCTGTATCTAAATACACCCTTAAATATAAAACTCTAATCTAATCAGTTAATCCTGAAGTCAAAGCCAAAAATCTGATAACAAAGATTACAATACCCAAGGCAAAATAAATTTGCCTGTAACCACTTGTATCATATTCATTATTATCATCAATTACGCTTCTTCAATACAAATATGGTACGGTGTATTGTAAAAAAATAAATAAATAAATAAAATAAAATATATATATATATATATATGTATATGTATATGTATATGTATATGTATATGTATATGTAATGTGTATGTGTATGTGTATGTGTATGTGTATGTGTATGTGTATGTGTATGTATATGTATATGTATATGTATATGTATATGTATATGTATATGTATATGTATATATATGTATATGTATATATATATATATATATATATTATATAATATATATATATATATATATATATATATATATTATATATATATATATATATATATATATATATATATATATATATATATATATATATATATATATATATATATATATATATATATATATATATTATATATATATATATATATATATATATACAAATACAAACTCTTCCAACAGAGATGTTTTATGATGATAAACAATAAAATCAGTCTCTGTTATATATATTTGGTGATCGGTTGTATGAAGAAGTATGCTTCTAAGGAATATCAAATCAGAAAATATACAGGAGTAGGATATATATTAAGGGTCTATCACAACTGAGCAATTTCTTGTGTACTTTCTACATTCTACCTGCTCTTTGTGTACTTTCTACAAATTTGGTCAGATTAGAACATGTCCACAAGAATGTCTTGTCAACCATTTAACTTGTACCCTTTCAAAAAAAGACAAATGTAGAGCTTTTGTGTGAATATTACAAATATCAAAAAAGGTATTAATTCTTTATTGAAAAGTAATTACTCATAATAAGAAATCCAAGCATACAGAACTAGTCAAATAATTATCAAGATAAAATAATAACACTGGAATAAGACTCAGGTCAAGAGTAATAACTCCTATCTTTCTAACCATGCCGAGCTTTATTTACCAAAATCTTGCTATTTTTTGTGTACAGTAAGGAAATCGAGTTATTGAACTTTGTTAAATGATACTGTGCCGTTTAAATATCAGACAAAAACATTTTAAGGCCAGCCCAGATACACTAATGAAGCAACATTCCTGTTTTTAACAAATATGTGTACAGACTGAAGTCTGCACAATTTGTGATATGAAGTGAACAATATGTGAAGAGAACAGACTGAATACTACATAAAGTATACAAAAATTTAAATTCACGTGATAGTACCTTTACAGGCTCAATTTCATTCACATATCAAAAGATATAC